TTCGAATCCCGGAGTAGGCATGGTTGTAACTGTTCGTCCCCTTCATAGGAAAGGCAATGGTGGCCCACCTATTAGGTGCCTCCATGATAAAGAGACCACCACATCCGGCCTTGTATGGATTAATGGACTGGGTTACATTTGTAATTGTTCACAATCTGCTATTTGAAAAAAAAAATATATATATATATATATATGAAACCATAATTTATGAAATAAAGAGCAATTATGATCTAAAGGGTATCAAATTTTACAAAAAAAAAAAAAGCTTAATATTTATTTGTTTATTTTATTAAACATTTCTTTTAATGTGCGCATGCATTACGCACATGTGTAATGTATGCACATTCTCTATGTGCATGCGTAAAGTTTGTAGCTTTGAGGTCTGGATTATAGATCATCCCATATAATGGACATCCGGATTACAAACTTTGTACTGCATTCTATTATCAAGTCATTGCTAGTCATTTCAAAGCAATATGACTTATGAAAATGAGCATGATAACGACTTAATGAAGCATTAATTTTTTTTTTTTTTTTTTTATTTGGCATCGAAAATCAGTCCCTAATGGTTGTTAATAAAGATCTTTAACACGTGTAGTGAAATTGTGTTGTAAAAACTTCTGTAGTACAGTACAATGTCCGAAATCCAGACGTCATCCGAAATGATCTAAAATCTGGACCTCAAAACCACCAAAAACGTTTTTCTCCTAGGCTTTATGCATGCGCATTTCATTCTCCCCCGTCCACCCTGCACATAATAAAACATGTGGAGAGTTTCGATTCTTAATTTCACTTTGAAACTAATAAAATACCTTGTTATTGAAGAAACAATCATTTTAGCATAAATTTGTGCCATTAGTAATTTGGCTCCATTGCTATGTATCTGCTTGGCACACATCTCAAACTGAAACCTTCCACATAGATACATCATTGATCTGACGCCAACCTGGCGAATCATTATTTATTATACTTTCCTTTCATCACCACATGTTTATCAAAACATGGTAACTTGAGTAATGACTCACGTAGCGATGCCTAAACAATTTTTTTATGTTAGTAACTGAATAACAAAGGAGTATGGTAACCTTTTATGTTGACATTACGCTTAACAATAATTACAGATTTAAGTTAAATGCGCTAAAAAATGTTGACGAGGAAAAATTAACTAAAAATTTCTTTTCCATATGCTAAAAAATAGATTTTGTTGATGATACTCATAGACCCAAAGATTACATTTAGGGCTACTTGAATTAAGAATAACTGACTTGTTATTGACATAAACTCAGAACGAGCGCCAGGCCTTGTATGGCTGCACCGAGTCGCAGAATTTAGGACTGACAGAGACTGCATCAGGCGGTAAGGTATCTAGCACAGGCCCTCAATAAGGATTAAGTATATGTGGGAATTTATTTATTCAGAACTCTGATAAGCCTTAAGCCTGTGAAAAACCTTAAGCAAAAAATAGACATAAGTATAATAAATAGCTAAACAAATACATTTCAGGCTTAATTGTCTCAGTGTGCTATAGAAGCAAGATAAAATTTGACGGAACAACTTGTCGTTAGTCACCAAGCTCATGATGCATAGCCAAATATGTATTGCAAAGAATAGCTAAATTTGATGATGATAGCCGCTAATTTTAAAGGTTTTTGAATATTGCAAAACAAAGGTGAAATTTCCCAATTAATGGATCTTGTAAAAAAATATAAAGAACCGGTAATAAATGAAGATGATATAAAAGAAGTTTTTCAATGTGATGACAATGCTTCTCTATCATCAATCAATCAATGAATAGCAAAATCTGTAGTATGGTTCTAGGTCCAGAAAATACTGCTACCGATAGTGAAGAAAGTGACAGAGAAGTTACTAAAAGTGAGAAAATTCCAATTGAGAAGTTAGTTGAAATTCTCGAAACAGCAGCTAAAGGACTTCAGCAATGTAACTAAACAAGAGATTACGTCAGTCTACAGAATTAAAGAGAAAGTATTAGCAGAATAAACAAAGCAATTTAAACAACTTTACATTGAAAGAAATGTTTAATAAGGTAAACAAATAAATATTAGGTTTTTTTTTTTTTTTTTTTTTTTTTTTTTTTTTTTTAAATTTTGATACCCTTTAGATCATAAATACTTCATTATTTCATAAATCACAATTTCTACATGTCATCTTACTAGATTTAAATTGATGATCTAATATTAAACAGGGTTCGTAGCGGTCCTTATAAGTGCTTATAAGTCCTTATATTTGAAAATAAAATATAAAGGCCCTTATAGGTGCTTACTTTTTCTTTAAAGCACTATTTTTTTGTTTTTAGTACTTATTTTTTGCTTTAAGTGCTTTTTTTTTATGAACGTGCTATTTTCGCCGTAACAAAGCCGAAATTAAATAAACAACTTTTCTTCCTAATATGGAATGTCAGATGGTGAGTCATACTCCCGGAAATAGCTTTTCCCCCTTTCTCTGCATTAACATAACCTTTGGTGTGCACGAAGAATACAGACAGGTGCCCGTCGTTCTATTGGTCAAAGAATTGCGGCACGAAGAGTACAGACAGGTGCCCGTCGTTCTATTGGTCAAAGAATTGCAAAAGCAGTAGAAAATTCCGCTATATTCGACATTCTTTTCCTCCCACCCAAATACTACACACGTTTGAATTTATATCAAGATCTTAAAAAGATTTGCATTCTCGTTCTGCTTGGTCAGTTCATATTCGTGTTTATTATGATCGTTATGCTTATATTATGAGCATATGTATGAATGTTTATAACAACATAGTTGCAGTAACTGCTGAAGTATAGTAAACTTCCAAAAATGGTTGTGTTTTAACACAGATTAGCTTTCTAAGGAATAATATTCGGAATGGCTTAAATAAAGGGAAAGTAATCGAATAGTCAAAATAGTTTCATATTTTTTGGCCAATACATTAAACAGTACGAAGGTTGGGAGGTTCTCCCCTTTCTCCGCAAAATCACGAATATTGAAACTGTTACAGTTCGCTGCAAAACAAGCAACGGACCTTTCTTTTTTGGGGGGGGAGGGTCACTTTCCAATCTGGATTGAATAGGACTAAAAGTTCTGCGGTCTACCAACCCAAGCGAAGAATGATTCTATTCCGGAATTTTAACGCCGTCTGTTGAAAATTAGAATGAAAAACACTCCAGTTATTTAGTTCTTTTTTCTCTCAATACCGGCAGTTGTTGATTCCGATTGCGTAATATCACGTAGGGAAGAATTACGGCGCACGTATTGGGCAATAGCGTTTGCGATATTTTGCAGAGATAATTAATTTTGATGTTCAGTCCGAGATTTGTTTATGAGCACTTAAAAGAGTTTTACTGCCCTTACTAAACGGAATATTTTTTAGTTTGGTTGGCTTATTTTTATATGATGCACATATTGAAATGTCAAAAGCATTTATTTAGCGGAAAAATCTAAAGAGCGGCTACAGTCTACCCCCCTCCCCCTCCTCTCCTTCAAGTTACGCTCGACTGTCCGAATATTCGCCAATTTCCAAGTATGCGAGTTAGTTAAGGTTTTACTGTTAAAGATGACTGCATGAAGCAAATTTCTGTCTTCTGATTTCAGAAATGTTCCTCTTTTTTACTTAAATTACTTTGCTTGCAATATCTGTTAAGAGAAAACTGATATACAATGAAAATTTAGAAAATGTTCAGAATTTAGATTTAAATTATTTAAATAGCAATATGAGTGGGAAAATAAATTGTATTTAATATTAGGTTCCAAGCGAATACAATAAATATGCTTTATTATTATTTATTTTCTCTATTTTGAACTGAAATTTCATCATTAAATCTTGTAATGTAGTTTAATTCTTCATAGTTTTTTTTTCTCTCATTCTAAACTAGTTCTGTAAATTGAACTATTATTTAAAATTAAAAACCAAAAAAAGTAATTTTCCATGGTTGAGGTAATGCTTATTCTCTCTTAATAAGTACTTCATTTCTCATATTTTAAATTACAAGTCTAATTTTTAAGGTTATGCAGTTGCGTATGATGTAATTAGGCAGGTGCTTATTTTTTTTCTTAAAATGTGCTTGAAAAGTGCTTATAGGTGCTTATTTTTGTAACTAAAATGTGGCTATGAACCCTGTTAAAAAAAAATCTGTAATCGCCGAAGTCCCGACGAGTCCGGATTTCGGACTTTGTACATAAAAATTATGTTCAATAGAGAAGCAAGGCTATTTGAAATTGCATAATGAGATGAGAATTGATAACATTAGGATTAAACAAATGTATTATGAAAAGAAAGTCTTTTATTAGTTGGTGAAAAAAACTCCAATTTATCAAGGAATATAATGGCTGGAATTTATAGCAATGAGAAAAAACTGGAAGTTATGATTTATCATCTTGCAGGATACATCTGGTTTAAGAGAATGAAGCATTGGATTCGTTTATATATTTTATGCACAGTACAAATCTCAGAATAAAATGTTATATTACTCTTTGGCCAGTCTAGACTCAACTATACCATCTAGCAATAAAATTTGGACATACTGTATGATCATTTTATTACACCAATGAACTATTTTTATTCCCTGAAGAGAGTGATATGTTACGAATGCTGAACTTCATTGAGCTCAGACTGTAAAAGATTGGTTTGAGAAACACAGAACATCATTCTCATACATGAATTAATTACCATAAAGTTAAGAGCTCAGTCTGGTTGAGAGTGTGTGGTTATGCTGAGTGTATAGAAAATATAAAGATTGATTTAGCATTCTTCATGTTGATGCAGCAATGGTAAAAAATAAATCATAAGCATCAGCGTAACTCATAGAAGCAATGTCACGGTGTGAGCATGCAGTTATTTGTGCTAGTCTAAAGTGTATAACTTTTTATGGCAGACAGTGTATTTTAAAAATTGGTTTCATTTAAGGTACAATTAAATCGTTTAAATTTGAAACATGATTAATTTAGATAATTTTAATGCATATTTGAAATTTATGTTTAATTTTTATTTTATATATTTGTTATTTCAGCATCCTGTGTATTCTATCTGTATGGTTGGTTCTGAAAATGCTCATAATCTTGTGACTGTTTCTACTGATGGCAAATGTTGCACGTGGAGTGTAGATATGTTATCAGCACCTCAAGTAAGATACTCTCAGAATATAAAACCTCATTAAAAATTCATGTGCAGATTAATATATTTATTTAAAAGTTTGTGAACTGAACTGATTTTCCATATTTCCTCATGTATAAGATGGAGATTTTCTTTGAAAGATTCATGTCTAAAAATTTGGTGCATCTTGTACAACAGTGGCACTGCCACCAGTGGAACTGAATGAATGAAGTTTCCTGTGGACAGTGTGATGCCAGTAGAAGAGTGAAGTAGACAATATAGGAGAAGATTGTGGCTGAGTGGAAAAAGCATGGGATAATATCAATATTGAGATTGTTATTAATGTTGGAAATATTTATACAACAAATTAATATAATAAAAAAGAAACAATTTTTCTGTCCTTTTCATAATAGTGCTGAGCATAATCATTGTCTTAATTTTGAGCAATCCAATTTGAGATTGTACGTGAAATGGTAAATAAAAATATGTTTTATTTAACACATGTGTAATGTTGAATGTGAATAATTATATGTATGCGATACGTATGATTTTCAGTGGAGATACAAGAGTTCATTTTACACTGTCCTTTACAGCAGCACAAAGGAGGGAAATGCGAGTTGCACAGCTTCTTTATTGATATACACTTAGAATATGAGATTTATCACCCGTTTCATGACTGATGTTCATCATTGTATACCAGCTGTTAAATCATTTAAGAAGTCTGACATTTCATATACCACAGATGGAATTGAGGATGAGGCAATATTTGAAAATTTTAATTCATCATCAGTCACAGTTGAGATATAGCTAATGCAGAGGAGTTCTGATAGTGATGACGAATTGTATACTCGTTGAGTAGAGAAGTTATGTATGTTGATTTCAATTACTTCAAATAATTATTAAATTGTAATCCAGCTGGCCAAATAAAAACTAGTTCATCAACCAAATATTTTTTTATTTTTTTAAATTTTGGGGTCTCAAAATCAAAGTGCCATGTTATACATAGGGAAATATGGTAACCATAATTATTATTAAAAAAAAGAGTGCTAAAAACTGGTAACTTAATTTTATTAATGATAATTATTTTCTTATAGTTAAAAGAATATTATCCTTTTTTTAATGTAAGGAAATAATAAGGAATTTCAATTTCTGCAATGATTTCCTGCAGATGTGCATAAATTTCTTCAAAATGTGACTGTAGATAAAGATGTGACAATACCTTTAACCACTTGTGCTACGATTAAACTTCACAGTTGTGGTGCCGTGCACTACAATATAACAAGCGGTAAAGTGTCTTATTTACGCCCCTCCGCGTCTGCGAGTGCAATCCACAGCTGTAACTCGAGAAATAGACAGTCCCGTTGTTAGGCGAAATGTGCACCACGTTATTTTCATTTTTGCAATAAATGCCTATTGACGTGGTGTTCACATCGCTGGCGGTTTGAGACAAAAGCATTTCAACGTGCGTGGCACGTCTCTTTTTAGCGCAAGTGGTTAACATACAACTCAGGTAAAGAATCTAGTAAGATTGAATCATCCCCCCCTCCCTAAGGCATGTGCCTGTGCTATACCTGGGGGGGGGGAATGTGTTTTTTTTATTATGTGGCACTAAAATTGGTTCATAAGGATAAAGAATTATTTTTGTTATTGTTGTTGAAGAATAATTATTTTATTCAAATACTTTTCACTTGGGATTGTCAACTACATGAACTGCTCTGCTTTTATCTGGTCTCTACTTTAACCCTCTGAATGGCTCGATTTTGGGATCTGCTCTTGAAGGACCTACATTGAAACAGCAATAAATAGCTAAATTTGTATATTTACTTATTTTCGTCATATGTTTCATGTGTATTTCATTTCTTATTCAGTAAAATATTTTCGTAAACTTTTATTCATTAAGATTATATTTTTACATCATTAAAGAAAATAAGAAAGCAATAATGTTATTGCAATATTTTAAATTGTAAGCTAATATAATATATCTAAAAATATCATGACGATCGGATAAAGGTGATCATGCCACTCAGTGGATTAATATACGTTAATTAGTTTATGTACATCAGTACATAAATTTAGCCAAATTGACTTTTTTTTTTTTTTTTTTTTTTTAATGTTTAAATTGTATTTGTTTTTGCCTTCTTAATAATAATTTTCAGGTGCTTCTTGAATTGATTATCGTATATCATTTATTTTCTTCCCATTCTTCAGTAAATGTACATTTAATCATTCACACCTTAGGTGTCTTATGAAGATAAATTTATCTAAAATATTTAATTAATTTAAATTTATCTAAAACAGTTTATCTCTTTATGTTTTATTCTATTAAGAAAGGTATTGTATTACTAGAAATGATAAGTTCAAGGGATTCAAAATTTATATGTTGTGTACTTTAATTTTTTTTATGAGCATATAATTCTAGTAATTAAAATGTAATGAAACAAGGGTCTAAATTGCCAGTCACTAGCTGTAATCTCTAGAACTGAGTAACTAACTGTTATGCATTGTTGATATTTTCAGTTGCTTAAATGACTAAACTTATTCTTAAATGTTAAGATTTTTGTAATAAAATTTTAGAGAAGCATTCTTCTTGTCTAAATGTGTTATTCATCTAAACTGTGTTTATAGGACTCAATAGAATTGAATCAGCAGAAACAGTCAAGGACAGTAGCAGTAACATGCATGGCATTTCCTAATGATGAATTTAACAACTTTGTAGTTGGTGGTGAAGATGGCATAGTTTACTCTGGTAAATATTTTCTTTTTCACTGTTAGCTATATAATTACTTATGCATTGAGAAGGATAATAACATTTTGAAATGGTGTCGAATCACATTAACATTTCATTGCTGTGTAAGGTATATTTTAATTTTATAACAGTTATTTTAATTTCAAATGTCTAAGCAGCAGTCGCCCTCAGGGGGCTCACTTTTGAGAGTACGGGTGTGGCAATCCCAAGGTACCCTAGCCCTTCAGAGGATCATCTTCTTGGTGAGACGGGTGTCACGATCCTGAAGCCCCTGTGATCTATCTTCTTTTCTGTCTCCTCTCCTCTTGGCTGGAACTTTTTGCCTTCCCTTCTCCCTCATGGTTTCTCTCTACAAAGTTTGGGGCTCGTCACGAGAGACTGGAGCAGCCCTTGTCTCTAGTTTTTGAGGGGCAAGAAAACTGCCCACGTGTTTGCCGTGCATGGAGACCCGTGTCGCTGGAAAGGAGGAACCTGGTAGTTGAGGGGCGAGGTACTGTCCCCAACACACTACTTTGGCAGGGTTCGTACGGCCCTTAAAAGTCCTTAATTTTTTCAAAAATGATTTTTGGTCCTTAAAAGTCCTTAATTTTGGCCAAAATGAATAAATGGTCCTTAATTTTGCTTATTTGACATTTCTTATCATTTCTAATGATTGCCATTCTATGTGTGAATTGCGATTTCTCGTGAATATGGAATTAAAATTGCACGGCTCTTAACCAATCTGTTGGCGAATTTGCGTTGCAAACGATTTAAAAAAAAAAAAAAAAAAAAAAAATTAGCTACCCGAACGAAAGTATCGGTGTCTCATTGGCTATTCACCCAATCTTTCGAAACAGGTGTTATCCATAAATTTAGGCAGATTGTGACGAAAGCGTGAAGCCGGAAGTTCTTTAAGAGGCGAAAGTGATGATGAAGGTGCTCGAGAAAAAAAAGGGTGGGAGGATTCTGAAAATATTTGCCAAAATTAGAGCAGTCCCAACCTGGAAGGCCAGACAACCCTTTCGACGCCAATAGGAACGAGAATGCCTGGAAAGTGCATTTTCAATAAGCTGTGGCCTTCATCAAGCTGACTACAAAGACTGGATATTGATGGATGACAAATCCTTTATAAAGGTAAATGTGGTCTTTGTCTGAAACAAATTGAAATTTCTAGAATGGGAGAGTCAGCGCTGAAAATTTACATGAAAATTAAGTTTCGTTTTATCATTTCAATTTGTTTTTACACGGTTTTGCTTAGCTTAATTTCTGTGTTTGTTTCAATTAAGCCATAAATTAATTTTTTATCACCTTTTCTGCGGAGTTTATTCTCTTTTGCGCATACTATATGTATGGGATATCGGGATTATCAGTTTTATTCCTGCAGCAGCTTGTCTATTATCGATTTCGTGGGAAATCTGTTGGCTCCATTTTCGACTTTAGGGTCACCAAGGGCAAATTCGGTAACGCTAGCCGAGAAAAAGTGAAGTTCGGAAATACGTTTTGAAGCTTCAATAGACAATTAAGTATTTGATTTAATCCTATGCTGTTGATAGTAAAGCATTATTTTTGCTAATGGCGATACAATTATTAGTTGAAAACAAACTAATTAAAAAAATTTTAATATTTTTAAAGCTGAAAACAACTACAGTCAAAAGTCGTTAATTCGGACACCCATAATCCGGAATGATCTATAATCCGGACCTCAAAGCTAAAAACTTTCTGCACATGCGCCGCGTTGACACATGCGCATAGATGTTTACGCGTGCGCGTAAGATCTTTTACGTCTGCGCATATGCGTGTGCGCAAGTGCAGAATACGTTTTCGCGTGCGCGTTTTATGTATAACGGACGGTATAATCTAAAATTATCTAATTATCTATTTCAGTTAATGTTGATGATTGCATTGTTCCTTAATCTTTGAATTGGATCCGGCTTATTATTTTTTGCAGACTGTAAGAGCAGTACTATAAAAGTAAACTTGAACTTTCGATTATGTCAAAAAGAATTTCCAATTCTGGAGCTCCCAAAGGATCGTACAAAACGAAAGTATGTTTCGATGTCCATCAAACAAAAAGTGGAATTGCTGCAAAAAATGGATAAAGACATGAAGAATGTGACAGAGAGGTTAGTGAAAACGAAAAAATTTCGATTGACAAGTTAGTCGGTATTCTCGGCACAGCAATTAACGGGACTTGAACAGCGGAACTTTGTAACTGAACAAGAAATTATGCCTGTTTATAGAATTAAAGAGAAAGTATTATCACATAAAATGAAGCAACTTAAATAACTTACATTGAAAGAAATGTTTAATAAAGTAAACAAATAAATATTAAGCTTTTTTGTTTTTTGTAAATTTTGATACTCTTTAGATCATAATTGTTCTTTATTACATAAATTACGGTTTCATATTTTTAATTTTAGAATTTCTGCATGCCATCTTAGGAGATTTAAACTGATGATCTATAATCCGGAAAAATCGATAATCCGGAATAGCCGAAGTCCCGACGAGTCCGGATTAACGACTTTTGACTGTAATTGAAACTAATTTTTATGAATTAACTAGATGTAAAATTAACTTTCATAAATTACTAAAGTTATTGGGTAGAAGTTTAACTGAAAATATACATTCCGTATTATATATATATATATATTTATACAGTACAAAGTCCGAGGTCGGAACTTCGGCGATCCCAGATTTGAGATTTTTTCCGGATATTAGATCATTTTAAATTTACTAAGATGGCACGTAGAAATTATAAAATTGAAAATATGAAATCGTGATTTATGAAATAATGAAGCATTTATGATTTAAAGGGTATCAAAATGTACAAAAGAAAAGAGCTTAATATTTATATGTTTTACTTTATTAAACATTTCTTTCAATATGAGTTGTTTGATTTGTTTTTCTCTGCTGATACTTTAGACTAATACTATAGACATATAATTTCTTGTTGAGTTATTAAGTTCCATTGTTCAAGTCCTGTAATTGCTGTGTCGAGAATTCCGAATAACCTTTCAATCAAAATTTTTTCTCGTTCAGTAACCTCTCTGTTACTTTCTTCACTATCGTAGTTGTATTTGCTGGATTTAGAACCATACTACAGATTTCGCCCTCCGTTAATTGATTGATGATTGGGGCATTTGTCATCGCAATGAAAAATTTCTTTAACTTCCTAAATTCTGCCGCCTGGCGCGGCCATGCGAGCTCTGGCGCTGGTTCTGGCTTTATGTGAATAACAAATCAGTTATTCTTAATTCAAATAGCACTAAAATAAATCGTTTGTCCTATGAGTATCATTAACAAAATCTATTTTTAGCATAAGGAAAGAAATTTCTGTTAAATCTCCCCTTGTCACCATTTTAGCGCATTAAACTTAAATCTGTAATCGAATAATACTCTGTTATTTAGCGTCGCTGCATGAGTCATCACTCAGTTGTCATCCGTTGATAACATGCAGTGATGAAAGCAAAATACAATAAATAATGATTCGCGACTTCAGCATCAAGGATATAAAATATTAGTTGGTGTAAAATTAACAAATGTTTCGGTTTGAGATTATGCCAAGCAGATACGC